CGTTCTCGCGCGCTCCTTCGTCGAGCCAACCCAGGCCAGGAGGCTGGAGGACCGCCGCGCGCCGCCGCTGCATGCCGGCAGCGTGCATGGCCAGGGTGCCACAGTCCGTCTCCCAGCCATCCGCGGCAACCTTTGGGTGCGCGTAGACCACCTGGTTCTCCCCCGCCATTTCTACGTCGACGACGTGCCTTCTCCGGCCGAAATCAGCGAGCTCCCGCGCATCCTCTGCTCCAAAATCCCGTCAAGGACCGTGCGCAACAATTCGACATAAGGGAAGGGTCGTTCTACGAAGCCATGACTCATTTGAATAGTGCTCCTGAGGACCTCTTCGCTGATGTTTGATTTCTGTTTTCCGCAGGGACCCCGATGCAAGATTTACATTGCTTTTCTTTGATTTTGGCAGATTTGAATGATGAACTTTGAAAATTCATAGTAATTAGTATAAGAATCGTAAAATAGTAAATGAGGACTTTTTGGAATCCTTGTGAAATTGTCTATGCATTAGATCCATAATATGACATGTTTTAGTTTAAATATTTTGCTGTAAAAAATAGATTTGTGCAGTAAGGTTGTAATGCTAGTTGAATTTGTTATTTTCCATAACTGCAGATCTAGGGCTCCAAATGAAGTGAAATTTTTGTGGCATGCTACTCATGTGATGTTTGATGTGGTAAAAATTTCATGGTCATTGGTTGCTGCATGAGTGAGTTATTGGTATATTTTTCTCTCACATGATTTATTGCTTTAGCAACTTGTCCTTTTCATAGAGGTTGCTATACATATTCAAATGGAGTAAAATTTGTACATTATACTATTGAGAGTATATGTGAGCCACTGTAATTTTTGTAGAAGTTATTGTGCACTTTTGGTATATGTTTATTAAGTCACCTTGTTATCTAAAATAAATTAAGAAATGCATTAAAAGAATTTATTTGGTCATGGACACTAGGTTTTCTGGTGTTCTTTAGTCATGTGTGACATTTTGGTAAAGTTGGTTTTGCCCAATTATGTGTTTGCAACATAAGTTAAAATTTATTTTCTTGCAAATGTGGTTTATGGACAGATTTAGGAACTTAGCAAAGTTCTTCATGATAAGGTGCTTTGTTGTGAAACTTGTTTATACAAAAGTTGTAGATAATTTATGTATCTAGCTGCTGTTAAAATTTGGTATCATTTGGCTGAGTAGTGTTTGAGTTACAACTGTTTAAAGTTAGAATACATGATTTGTTGCTCTCTGTTTTGTATGAACCAGTTTCTGTAAAGGTATAATTTCAACCTACTTAACTTGGGAATCATGCTATGATGGTTATTGATGAAATATAGATAATTTCATAAGCTTTCCATAATGTCTTCTTGCAAGTCATTTGGATTTGTGTAACTCCAGTTATAGCTAAATCTTGTAGCTGCTATTTGCATGTCCAGAAATTGGCAGATTCCAATTATAGTGTTTGCTTGTATATTGTTAAGTGTGACGTATGCTTTGAATGATGACTGAGTTAGAGCACCTGAGATCTTGGGAAACTTGTGTCATGCTTGGTGTTGTCGTCTTCTTTTTCATCTTAGCATGATAGATTGTGTGATGTTTAAGTTAAGCATCGCGAAGTACTTAAGTGTGTTAGTGTAAACTATGCTTGTCTTGCTTGCTATTTTGTGATGCGTCTTATGGTACTATTTTTCATATTTATGCACTTGCATATTGTATCTCATCTAGGTACACTAGATGCACCACATGAAGGATGAGATGTTGGAGCCAAACCCGAAGACGGTGTTTGATGGATCTATCCCGAAGATGGAAGGACTAAGCAAGTGCTAGGACCTGAGATATCACCAGGACAGTGCAAGCTAACTGAACTGACTTGTGTCAGATCCCAGACAAGCCCCGAAGCATTATAAGTCTCCTAATTTATAAAAGTAATTCGTTCTATATATATGAGTTTATATATTGTTGCATTAAGTTGTAGGAGTTGATTGAAACCGTTGATGCATTTATTACTATCCTTGCCTACCTTATTACCTTTTACCCTGTTAGGTCAGGATCGAATAACTGCTTAGCCTTGCTTAGACCGGTAGCGATCGGTGATATCCGGTCACCTACATTATAGGTGGTTACTGGAAGAATTTAGCTATGGAAAGAATGATATCCTGGAAGTAACCATGTGTGATGGATAATTGGAGACCGGATGGAAAAGTTGGAGGCAACCAGACAGGGTTCTGGGGTGCTGTTAGTTTCCGTCTGTGTCGATTAAAGACCGACCGTTGTTGGGCCTCGGGTCATGTTGAACGCATGCCTTACATTTAGCTGGCCGAATAACGTACCTTTCGACCGCGAAGCTGGGAGATTATTCGGGCCGAGTGGATTGCCCGCAGCGCACTGTACCGGAGCAGGCGTGGTAGGACACGGGGGCGCGATGATAAGACCGAAAGGCAGTCGGTCGGCCCTCGGGTACATGTGGTTCCTGGCAAACTCGAGATTTTTCCTGGATAGTTGACTCGGTGACCGATACCTCACTTTAGTGGGTGAGTGAGGTTTGTGTAAGGAATAAATTATCAGCTGGTTAATAATCGATTCGAATCGTCATCGTTTACTGGATAGTGAGCACTTGACTCGAGCTACGGCATCGTAGTAATTCTTATGGAACAATGATGGTTATCTGGATGATATGGGATATGCTAAATCTAAATTGGTAACTGGATGTTGTTGGTTAATCAAGTGATTGCTATAGTACAGGTGTTTACCTAGATGGATAGGTTATAATAAAGATGAAGCAAAGTACTTAAAATGGTTTCTTCATGATAGCTTATGCTTTTCACAAACGAGACAGCTAGCCCACTAAAGAAAGCCTTGCATAATCCTTGTTGTCATTTGTTTTGATTTCTGACGGGTAAGTCTAGCTGAGTACATTCGAGTACTCAGGGTTTATCCCACCATGTTGCAGGTGAAGTTCTTGGCCTACGGAAGATGGTGGCTAACTGCCGGTGGGCTCGGTGATTCTATACTTACTTTTCATCTATATGCTTTTGTCGGATGATGTCACTTATGCTAGCCATATATTTGGAACTTATATTAATGTAATCATTTGAAAGCTATGTTGTTTTCTCTAATCGGTTTTAAAACCAAACTTGTAATATTATTTGTGAACCCGTTTGTAATATTATTTCTGCTGCAACTCTGCGTATGTGATGTGTATTTGCTTAATCATGCGATCTTGGTTGTGGTGTTGATTTACCGAGGTCCTTCGTGACACTCGGCGGACTACCGGGTTTATATAAGTGAAAGTATACGCGTGTCAACGTGTTAGCGGGGACAGCCGTACTTGATCTTGTATAAATTGGGCGTTTCTGTCACACCAATCTTCCGTCGTTCGAGCAAGAAGCACACTAGCATTCTCGTCTGACCGGAAGTGTCAACGTTCGATGGTCATTAGTTCCACCTCATTGGGTACCTCGGTATTAGGTCCCCGACAAGCAGTGACAGTATGTTTTTGACAGTTTATTTACTAGGAGAGTAGATCTCTGATTGATCACGTTCGTCTAGAAGGAAGGAAAGTGAAGGAACAGTTGTGTGGTGATTGCACCCAGAAAATCACATCCCCATCTCAAGGGTCTCTTTGAACAGAATTCCAGGCAGAAGAGAAGCGGCAAGGAGTAAAGGGTCTCTTGGAAGTTGGAACGCAGAAAGAATCATATAGGAATTTTACTGGAAGTTAGTTTAATTTGACAGGATTTTATAAGCATTGTATAGGAATTTTATTGAAATTAGTTTAATTTTACAGTAAAAACCTAGTATATGATTTAATATAGGAAAAAAAATCCCAATTTCCAAAGAGAGCTGACCTGCCTCAACCCGCATCAGACAAACAGGCGGCTTGCAGTTGTCCAGCGGGCCTTTTTTGCGGGGGGGTTAAGTGGGCTTGCGTGCAGGCCCGTGGGCCGTGGCGCTTGCATCCTAGCTGCAACCCTACTTCCAACAAGCGTGCGCGCAAGCACAACCTCCCACCCACTGACGACTGGGCCTGCCGTCGCCGCCGCCCTACTTCGGCACCTTCGCCGGCGACGAGCACCACCAGTTACTACGCCCTCCACTTGGTCTTCCCTTCCTGCTGGGCGAAGCCGTGCGCCCAAACCCTAACATACTATTCGTATTGGCTCCTCGCTGCTCCGTTCGCGCCCCGACTGGTAGCCATCCCGTCGCTCCTCTCTGCTACTCCGCCTCCGGCAGTCCAGCCTCTGCGACCGCGCGTTCCCACCCCAATCGGCAGCCGCGCGTCTGGTCTCCAGCTTTTCTCCTCTCCATGGCGGCCGGCACCCGGCAGGATCCGCCCGCCGCCCCCGCGCGGCCAGCTGCCCCGCCCCCGCTGCCTGCTGCCGTAAGTAGCTTTTGACTCTTGTTACGCAGTTATAGATATAGATTTTGATCTCTTAAACAGCTGCCGTATGTAGGCACCCTCGGGCTGAACATTGAACTCTGAATTTGTTACAAATGTACAGTGTTTTTGCCGCATTTGAGCCTCTGCAACTTCTAAACCATGCAGATTTTGATCCATGTCCCTACAAAAGATTGGTAGACCTTTATGTCCACAACACATTTGTTTATGATAGATTGAATCATGTACACGTGGATGGATTTAGGAGAAATTCTTCAATGAACATGAGACCTCAGGCTCGGTTATGAGCTCTCTGAACTTACAAATTGCTATTAGAAAAACAAGACATAATTATGTATCAAACATATAAGATGTGTTCTTTGTTATTGTATCTATTATATTGTATCTACTAGTGTATGGCTAGTAAGATTTCTAGCCTTCTATTATTTAGCCCTCCTTACCTTGTTTCTGTATCCACCACATAATATGCATGTATTATGCCTACTAACTTGGATTGATTTGCAAAAACTATCGGGTGTACATGTGTACACCCATGCCCTTTACTGGGTCCACCCCTGTGTCTTCTTATCATCCACTGCATCGATGCCGTAGCAGGACGCTCAGCACGAGCTGGAGATGGAGGTGGCCAAGTATTCGCGGGGGCAGGGTGCTGACTTGAAGGTAATCCATTATTATGCTCTTGCAAACAAGCTGCAAGTGTTAATCATTCTACTTTAGGATGAATATGCTGGCCAGTTATGCTACTGTCATTTTCTCTTGAAACTGCACATTGACTAGTTTGGTTTTGGAATGGCTTTGTAGGCGCTGCGGGACAAGAAGTTGAAAGGGCAGCTCAGTGTAAAAGAGAAGCTATATGGCCAATCTGCAAAAGCTGCTGCAAAGGCCGAAAAGGTCACCTCTCTTTTCATTGCATGCCTTGTTGTGGATTTGGATTGCAAAATATGCAATTGGTGTCTGTCTCACTAGAAATCTTAGGTGAACATTATGTGGGTGGAACAAGATAATCTGATATTAAAAACCTGTGGTTGGTATTGTATATGTATGCTATTGTACCCCACAATTGATGTTTAGCTGTTTTGACTTCAAGGGAATCCAGTTTGGATGAACTGACAAAGTGAGTATTCGTACACATACAGAGTTAGCATTTTAAGCATTATATGAGTCACTGAAAGCCTGAAACATTACTGGCAAAAAGGACAGCCTCAGGAAGATCTGTATATATATATATATATATATATATATATATATCTTTTTGTTCATATTGTCTTGCTAAGAGTACTATTGCTGAGCTGAAAAGACTTGCTTTGGAGCAGAGCTTTGTTATCTTAGATTAGCTCCTAGCTCTTCCTCTGAACAGAACTTGGACATCGACGCGGTTTCTAATATAACACTTTGACTACCAATATCTATAAAAGTATATTATCTTAAATAGAGATATACGTTATGAAAGTAGTGTTCCTAATAAAGCTAGTAATGCCAATCTAGTCCTATCAATCTAGATAAATATTTTACTCCCTCCGTTCCAAATTATAAGACATTTTGGCTTTTCTAGATACATTTATTTTATATGTATTTATACATAGTGTATATGAAGGGCGGGCCTGGTGCAAGCGGTAGAGTCTTACCGTCTGTGACCGGAAGGTCCCAGGTTCGAGTCACGGTCTCCTCGCATTGCATAGGCGAGGGTAAGGCTTGCCACTAACACCCTTCCCCAGACCCTGCACAGAGCGGGAGCTCTCTGCACTGGGTACGCCCTTTTTAGACATAGTGTATATCTAAGTGCTTAGCAAAAGCTATGTATCTAGAAATGCCAAAATGTCTTATAATTTGGAATGGAGGGAGTAGATATGAAGTAGCAATTTGTGAAATGGCATGCGTACCTTTTTGAAGACAGCATGAGGGGCTCTCTTGCATAACTTAAATATGTTGATCTTTTAAATTTCTTAGTTTGATTCACTTTGCTCATGACCTTCGTTCTTGATGGTTATACTCTCTAATTAGCTGTTGTTAATTTTCTTCTTTAATGAAATAACATGCAGCTCTCCTGCCCATTTGAGGAAAAAAAGCTGTTGTTAATTTCAAATATTTGTCCTTGTCTGATTTCTGTTACTCCATTTTGCAGTGGCTTATGCCTAATGATGGAGGTATTTTAGAGCCTGATCATTTGGAGAAGACATAGAGAATTTCACAAGAGGATATATTGACGGAGGTGGATCTTTTGAGTTCAAGAAAACCATTTGATATGATCTTACCTGGTAAATCTTTTAGTCAATGTTAGTGTCCTAAGAATTTCTGTCAACATAACTTGTCTGTCGCTCTTACCTAAACCAGTCGTTAACTGTTTGATAATAACAACCTTGTTGATTTTATATGATCCTTTAGAGTCTAAAATGTCTCAAAAATTGCCCCTTTTTGCTGATTTTTATAGTATTATGCATGACACTACTGAATCCCACATGCATGTCCAGTGCCAATTTTGATTGATCCAGAAATCTGCATATTCAATTTTATTAGCCTACCTTACTATTAACTTTTCTGAATATACGATTACCGGCTACTAGGGGGTCTGACTGACCCTTGTATTGTGCAGTACTCGGTCCTTATAATATAGGATACACATCAAATGGCCGCTACATGCTAGTAGGCGGACAAAAAGGCCACCTTGCAATGATGGATATGTTGCATATGGATCTTATGAAGGAGTTTGAGGTAAGTTCTTTTTTTACTATTGAAGCATTTCCCTCCACATGGGTTTACTTCACATACCCTTGTTTATGCCATGTTCTCGATTTTTTAAAATAATATTATTTTAATAGAAAATTGCAAAACTAGATAGTAAATTCTAAAAATTGTAGATCTAGTGGCATGTCGGCCGGCAGCCAACAGGTGAGTTATCAGCCCTTCATAGGCTGATACGTGCATATCGGCCTTCCAATTGCCGATAAGAAGACTCCACGTCACTACGTCAGCTATCGGCCTGGTGGAGGACTTGTCGGCCCTACAATTGCCGATAAGACTTATCAGCATCCTAATTGCTGATTAGATCTCTTCCTTTATTTTTTTCTTGTCGATCCAAAACCTTGGGATCTCTAAAAATCATGTAATTTTTTAACTGGATAATAAAAATCAAGCAGGATCCATTTTTCTTGGATCTGGTATCATAGCTATTCCCAGAAGGTAATTAGTATTTTGTCATGTAATTTTGTAGCATACGTGCTTTGTTATGGAACTTTGTCATTTAATTTAGCATCTGCCAAGCATTTGTTTTGTTAAGGAACTTTGGATTTTACCTGAACACATACTGGGAAATTGAATGACAAAATACTAATTTTTAAACCTTTGATTTGGGTTATTTTTCTTGTATTTTTGGAAACCGATTTAGAGCCAAACATTTTAACAAAAAACTCAAATATAGGATTTCAGGAAGAGATTTTAATTCAAAACTACAAATGGTATGATGCCATATCTTAGAAAAAATGGATGTTGTTTGATTTTTTTTATCGTCTATTTAGAAAATTACATGATTTTTGGAGGCCCCCTAGGTCCTTTATTTTGATCTATAGGAGAAGACAGAATGAAAGGGAAACTGAATGCATGTAGCATTTTGGGAAGAATGTTAATTTCAAAACTACAAAACTTATAATGCCAGATCTTAGCAAAATGTATTGTGCTTGATTTTTATCATCTATTTGGAAAATCACATGATTTTTGGGGGTCCTTAGGTCCTTTATTTTGGATCAATAAGAGAAGACATAAGTAAGGGGAAACGGAATTTACATAACATGTAGGCAACTAGAGAGCCAATAGGTGCTGTCAGCACATGGACTGCCAATAGGTCCTGTCAGCCCATGGATTGTCGATAGGAGTTTGCTCCAGGCTGACTGTCGGCCCATGGATTGCCGATAGGAGTCTGCTCTAGGCCGACAGGCTGACTTGAACGACTAGTTGGCTGCCGCGTATTGTCCTTTGCACTGCTGGCAGGCTGCTAGTTTTGCAATTTCATAAAAGTAGCACCCAGTTCTACAAATATTCATTAAAATAGTATTATTTATGAAAAAAAAAATCGTAATTCTGCTAGACTGGACTTGTTTTCTGTAAGTGTAGGAACTAGATGCTAGAGAAGGCTAAAATCATAATGAGTGATATAGGAGTGAAAGATAAAATTATGCTAGAAATGGCTACTTTTTATGCTATCCTCATTGATGAATAATGAGGAAGATGGCATTGGAGTAAATTGTACCAAGGCAGCATATACATAAGAACTCGAGAGATGGTTGCAACCAGATCAAAGATCTTGGAAGTTACTCAAATTTGTCGGAACTTCTTTATGCCATCCTCTACATGTCAAAACCAGACATGCTGGCCTAACTTGCACACAGTATTCGGAAAACAGATTAAGCACTCACCTAGGCATGCTTAAATGCAAGGCAGAACCCTGGTGCATCACCTAGGCCCCAGGTGTCTGATTAAATGCAGCCTAGCAGGTAAAGTTGCATGGAAACAGGGAAAATCGGGAGCATGGCAGGCTAGCACGAGCATGGGTGGGCAAGCGGGAGTGCGCGAAATAAGAAATGTGGTAGCACAGAAATGCAGGCAGGTAGATTAGGGGAAGAGAGAAGCTTGGGCTACTCATGTGCTAACTGCCAAAGTTCTTGCGCTGCAGTCGTCGCGGTCGCATCTTCTTGCATCGCTACGAACTGTGAGACGAATCTCAAGCTTGAGCTTCTTATGTCGCGGCCAGCACAGCACAGCCTACCCCCACCCCATGCATGCCTTCCCTGGTGCATGCTATCACGAGGCCAGGCCACCTGTGGTCGGTGATGCAAGACCTTACAGTATGCAAGTGGCTGGCAGTGCGGTGCAAGCGTGTGGCTCTGGGAAGAGGAAAGAGGTGCAGCACCGGAGGGCGATGTGTGTGTGAGAGAGATGGGAGGAGAATAGGATGGGCTTGGGTTACTCATGTTTTCTGGGCCAAGGGATACTATTGCTGGCCTGCTGGGTCTATTGTTATCAAGGATGGGCTAAATCTGTGAGTTAGTTATGCACTCAAGCACATCCCGGCAAAAAGAAAAAAAAATGCTTAATTCCTTTTCATTTCCACTTAGTTACCCTAGGTGCTAGGCAGCGGCCTGGTGCCTGCCTAGTGCCCTTTGGAACCTTGTTTGTACAGATGGGGCTGGGATGTCACCGACCTAGAGGTGCGTCATTAGTGTGTGGGTTTCTTTTCATCCCATTACAACAACAACAACAACAAAGCCTTTAAGTCCCAAACAAGTTGGGGTAGGCTAGAGTTGAAACCCAGCAGAAGCAATCAAGGTTCAGGCACGTGAATAGCTGTTTTCCAAGCACTCCTATCTAAGGCTAAGTCTTTGGGTATATTCTATCCTTTCAAGTCTCCTTTTATTTCTTTTCATCCCATTGATCTCCAAATATCCCTCGACGGTGGCACCTCTGGGAGGAGGGAGAGGGAGGGGAATGGGCGGATATGGAAGCTGAGTCATATGTTAATCAAGGGTTTGGTTACAAAAATTATGTTGGTCAAGCTTAGCAAGCTCCAAGTTATTCGATCATGTCTGTTAGGGTAGCATGAACACACTTTGTAAAAAAACACATGGCAACTTTAAACAGCTATCAAGATGCAAAATCTACATTATGCAATTAGTAACTTATACTGATAATTTTTTCCATTTCATATGCTTTGAATGGTGGCAGCTACATGTGAACCAAGTTTAATTATTGTAGTCCAGGCTTGTCATTTTCTAAGAACAGTAGGAGGCTATTCCTGTCTTTTCCTTTGTGTTTATGGTCCATGTTTACTAAGATGACCTCCATTATTTTGAACAATTTTCAGTGGCCGTGCTCTAATGCCGATGTATCTTTCAATTTCTGTCGAAATTTTTCCAGCATCACCCATTTTTGGCCACTCTCCCAGTTTTAATAATCGCAATAAGCATCTGTTATTTCTTTTTGATGTGCTTCGTGGATAATACATTTTATCTGATTTGGTTTTTATTTCTTTAGGTGAGGGAAACTGTTCGTGATGTGACATTCTTACACAATGAGCAGTTTTATGCAGTCGCTCAAAAAAAGTAATTTTTTTACCTTGCTGGAACTGTGTACTATGACATCATTGCTCATGAAATATTTAACATGTATTAACTGTTGGCCTGAAAAATATGAAATAAAGGAATATTAAAATTCACAGAAATTGCTGTTCAGGGTCTCAAAACATATACCAAATTGTTGTGAAATCTGTTGATCAACCAGGTCATGAAATTATTTTCAAATGGTTGCTGCATGTTCCTCATAGAAATATCCTGAAGTCATATTATTTCATGCAACATTCATTTTTGTGAACAATAAGCCTATTTTTGGCAGCTCATTGAACTTCTTGTACATAATCTGAATCTTGATTATGTGAGGTAGGAGCAGCTGAGAATTGCCATTTGAGGTCTGAGCTCTGACTGATCTGGATTGCTTGTCTGAATTGTTCATCGTTGCTTTACTGAGCCATTGAATTATTCTATAATTTGATATGTTTGTACTAGGTTAGATCAAGCAAAATTGTATATGCTTTTAGTTGATGCTTTACTGTTCTAGGCAGTTGATTATTGCTGTTGGTCTCTGTTTCCTGTCTACTATTAACAGTCCATAGTTACTCATGAAACATTTTTCAAACAGGTACCCCTACATCTATAATCGACATGGTACAGAAATTCACTGTCTGAAGGTAAGCATGATGGCAATATCTTTTTGGTGAATATAGTAGTTGTGGATATTTCTGTTATGATATTACTGTTCAAATGTTGTTTTCACATGCTTATAGGAAAATTATAGAAGAAAATATTCGATAATAGAATCATATTCCCTTATTTGCATTCATGAAATCTGCACTGTATGTCAAACTGAAAGTGGATCTCAGCTACATGTGACTATGTGAGTCTCAATAACATTGGTATTTTCCAAGAACACATACCTTACAGTTCCGTTGGCTAATTTTCCTGCAATATTGAAAATAAAAGTTTGCGTACTTTATACAATAATTAGCACATATTCCCTCCGTTCCAAATTGTAAGTCGTTTTAGCTTTTCTATATACATAGATTTTACTACGTACCTAGATATACATTATATCTAGATCGTTGTGAAAGCTATGTATCTAGAAAAGCCAGAATGACTTACAATTTGGAATGGAGGGAGTACTTCACAGTTCAGTCATCAAATGCCCTGCATCCAGGAGATCATCTGTCACTTAATCAATTCAGTACCTTTTTTTTTATTTTCCTTTTAAATCCCATGGGCCTTCAAATGAACTTATTAGACAGAATTTCTTTGGAATATAATATTGTGCGCTGATGAGCACTGTAACAGTTTAGCAACATAGATTTTGAGAGATGTGTATCAGTCTCAGCCTGTCCTCAATGCATAGACGTGTTATCATCCTAAACTCAGTGAAGATGTTTTCTTTTGTGAGTGTGATCGCTTCTATGTTGGCAGGAACATGGAAAAGCATTGAAACTCCAATTTCTGTCTAAGCAATTCCTCTTGGCATCAATAAACAGCTTTGGGCAGCTCCACTACCAAGATGTGAGCACTGGTGAAATGGTTGCAAATTATAGGACAGGTCTGGGCCGTACCGATGTTATGCGGGCCAATCCTTACAATGCTGTCATCGGCCTTGGGCATGCTGGTGGCAAAGTTACCATGTGGAAACCAACCAGTGTGAAACCCCTTGTTACCATGCTGTGTCATCATGGCCCGGTGACTGCTGTTGCATTTGATAGGGGCGGCAATCTTATGGCAACAGCAGGTGTTGACAGGAAGATAAAGATCTGGGACCTGAGGAAGTATGAGGTTGTGCATTCTTACCCGGCGCGTGCTCAGTCCTTGGATTTTAGCCAGAAGGGGCTGTTAGCCTGCAGCAATGGATCTCAGGTAGAGATATATAAGGATTTTGGTGGGCATGATTATAAGCTTTACATGAAGCACAAAATAATGAAGGGCTATCAGGTTGGGAAGGTTTTGTTCCGCCCCTATGAAGATATTCTGGGGATTGTGCACTCAATGGGCTTTTCTTCCATCCTTGTTCCAGGATCTGGTGAGCCGAACTTTGATACCTTTGTTGACAACCCCATGGAAACTACCAAGCAGAAACGTGAGAAGGAGGTGCATGCTCTCCTTGATAAACTCCCACCGGAGACTATCATGCTCAACCCAAACATGATAGCCACTGTAAGAGCTCCAAAGAAGAAAGAGAAGAAGACCAAGGAGATTGAGGAAGAGATGGAAGATGCCATTGAGGCCGCCAAGAACATTGAGCGCAAGAAGAAGACCAAGGGTAGGAGCAAACCGAGCAAGCGGGCCAAGAAGAAAGAGGAGGATGTTTTCAAAGCCAAGAGGCCCTTCCTGGAGCAATCTGATAAGATCGATGGACGACCTGACAAGAAGCAGCGGATAGGCGAAGAGGTCGAACTCCCAAAAGCCTTGCAGCGGTTTGCCAAGAAACCACAATCATAATCGTCGTTAAAACAGAGTAGGGATTTCAAATTGGTTTGTTATGCATGGCTAGTGAGCCTTTATGATTTAGCTGTCCAGTATGTAAAATTCCCGCGTGAGGATATGATGCACAGAAGAATGTGCCGAAATTTTGTTCTGAACTGTTGGTATTCCAGTGAGCATGGCCGTCAGCTGATTTTTTTTTAATTTACTACTCTTTGGTTCTCGTAGAGTTTATTGCCTTTTTCATTCAGATGAAGTAGATAATTCCTAGGTTTATTGTGGATCATCTATGGCACTCTTTGTGGTCAAAGTACCAAAGAATCAGGACTTTGAACCAGAAGCACTCATTCGCTACTGTCCATTACGCTTTAGCTTTGATTTGTCTACGGTATCCATGTGGGAAAGGCACTGCTTGTACAAAATTGCAGTCAATGTTATCAAGTCGTCCTATTAGCTGCGACTATCAGTGCCATTAGTGATGAAGCTAGAACAAATTAGAGGGGGATATGCTTGTCTTGTAGCTACGAAAATTTAAGCTGCACCCTGGTGAAAAATTGATCTAGTAAGCTAAACAATTAATGAGAAAGTCATGGCAATGGCCTCGTTCGTTTTGCTGAAAAACCATGGCTAAAAGTATTGTTCGTTGATTTGTTGTGAAAAAAAATACTGTTCATTCGATGAAATAGTATGGCTCATGAGACAAACGAACAGAAAATGTCTCTTTAGAAGAGTGCCTACGACACAACACAGGAGCTATCCTGGACTCCATGTCTTTAATTTCAGGGCTCGCATTAGTTACGTTTTGAGATAGATGTTCCAATCGTGTCATACAATGAAATACTTAAAAAGGAAAAAGCATGTTTTTTCAGAAGCCAATCTTGTACGAAACATAAATGATAACACACTATACAGAGGCACTATTAGCCTGTTCGGCTGGAGTGGCTTGTTCGTGAGAAAGTACTGCTGGCTGGTTTGTGTGAGAAAAATACACGGTTCCGATTGAAAGCACTGTTCATGTGAACAGTGCCCGTGTGAGAGGGCTGGCCAGCCAGCCGAACGGGCTATATGTCATTAGCAAAACCACTTTTGGTGCCATCTATGGTTGGGTAGGATCAACATCATCCCTGTCTCTTCGGAGACATCCGGTAAACTCATCCCTAACAGGGCCTTTCTGTTCTAGGGAAAGACCAGCGCCCAGATGTCTGAACGCGGCGTCTGTCCGACACCCATGCCTACTGCCCACCCACGCGCCAGATATGCACCCTCTGCATGCGGCAGGAAACGGTGCAGGCGACGCACTTCCCTGGAATGGATGCATGCAGCCAACAGAAGGTGCACGTGCACCACACCTCCACCTCCCACTTTGGGGGTGTTCGGCTGGCTGGCTAGCTGATTGCCGGCTAGCCAGCCACCTCACAAAATCACTATTTACGTCCTGCCAGAACAGTATTTTTCTCTCACAACAATCAGCCGAAACAGTATTTTTCAGTCCTGCCGAACAGGCCCTTTGCCTGTGCGAGCCCCACAGGGCATGCATGCAGCTCCTGCCCACTGCCGGCACGCTGCTGCCGCACCTATCCATGCGCTCCTGCCAGCCCTGACCCCGCCTGCTGCTGTTGTACGCATGCGCCTACGCATGCATATGTGGGGCCGCTTCGCACCCTGCGCGCACGCGGGGACCACTACGCCGAAGGGGACCACCTCCGTCTACACCCACCTGGTCATGCAACATAAAGCATTTGCTGCAGCACACATCCAAAACAGACGAAAACATTTACAAGCATACGCTTGCAACATATATGTATGGCCACTGCAACATATGCAACATACAGATAAAACACTTGCAATATACGTTTCAAACAGCTGAAACATTTGAAATATACACTTGCAACATACGTATATAGCCAATGCAACATCTAGATAAAACACTTGTAACATATGTTTGAAACAGCTGAAACATACACTTGCAACATACGTGTATTAGTGTATAGCCATTGCAGCATTAAGATAAAAACAATTGCAACATATTTTTAAAACAGTTGAAATATTTGAAACACACTTGTAACATATGTGTATAGCCATTGCAACCTATGCAACAACAGATATACTTTTAAAACATCCAGATGAAACATATGCAACACACATCTAAAACGCATGAAACATACGATTATAACATGTGCCTATCTACTTGCAACCCTCCAATGGAGGCTCGTTGACACAGAGCTCGACGTCGGCGCGGAGCTCGAGGTCACCCACGGTCGACAGGTACACGGACCGCGGCCACGGTGGAAGGCGCACAGCGCGGGCGAGGGTGCGCGGCGCGGGAGATCCGGAAAAGGACGGACGCCCTGAGGGTATGATTACCGTTTGTTCTAGGCCTTTGGCACATCTCTGAGATTGAAACTTTGTTTTACTATCATTTCTTTCGCCATTCAATCTTAAGCATCAGTATTCGGTACTCCATTATAATAGTGTTCATACCATAGCACAGGACGTTGAACTTCTTTATCTTTTTGGCCAATTCATTCAAGGTACAGCAAATTCTAAAGTAAACAAAACAATATCTACTTTGTTGTCAGGTATAATTATAAATCACCTTATGCACCAGTTCATATAATAGCTAGATAACTATGAAGCATAATGACAAGATTATGAAGACTTAACTATGCTAAATACACCACTACTCTGCCTAACACCCTCGTAGGGAATAACTTATGCTCTGAAATGAAAAACAAAACTGGATGAAATTTACATGTCATTGTTTGCCCTCATAGCAATGCTGAACATGCGAGTTGTCAACATCTACATACTTCGACCAGTATGGCTTGTACTTGGAAATGGCAAGGTCAAGCCAGGGCTTATAATTCCCATTGTAATGAACTACTGCAGCATTATCGATCTCAGCAATGTCAACAGCTGGATCATAGCCCAGGCCCAAGACATGCCAAGTACGATTCAACGGGTATGTCAGGTTGTAGAAAGTAATTAAACCTGGAGGCAATGTACCCAGCTTCCACAGCTTACGATCCTCATTCTGCAACAGGTCTTCTCTTAGTAAGTGAAACAACACAATTCATTACAGGTTCACTAAATGATGGGCAAAATGCAACAAGACAATGCAATCAGCAGTATATTTCTTATGCCACTACTTACCAAATCTTGCCAATAATGGTATATTCCAGTGATATTTTGCTTCTTCCACTCCTTGAGGTCAAACATGTTCATTCCGAAAGCCCACCCACAAGCATGTGGATTGAAATTCTCTGATATCTTTGGGTGTGAGAAGTTGAGATAAGTGTCAAAGCGATGGAAACTCTCTTTACAGGTTTCCACAGCGCCATTTACCATCCCTTTAAGATCAATATCCCAAAGGGGTGTCAAATCCTTCTGTACAACAACATCATCATCAAGAAACAGTATCTTCTCAAGCTTCGGGTGAATTTCTGGCATGTAGAATCTCAAATGGTTGAGCATGGACAGATATTTTGGGTTCCTGTATTTCATATTCTCGTGTCCATCTGAGAGTGATGATGGATCGTGTGCTTTGAAGTAATATTCTTTGAGGCGAGCTGACTCCAGTTGCCGAAGAACAGAACAGTATGACGAATTGAGCCATTTGAAATTGTCTATGTTCTCCACATGAACAGTTGCCAGTTGAGGAGGATGAGCAATGAACCACATCTTCATGGCTGCAAAATTAAGTCTATCAGTGACAATGTGGAACACGTGCTTCTCTGGTTCATTGGCATTTGTCACAGTTGATCTGACAACTACTGAGGCTGCAAGCACGTTATCAGAAAATATAGCATAGTGATAGAGTGACCGATCCTCAAGCTTTTCTTTATATTGTTTCGCCTTCAAAGCATCATCATCAAAATGTTCCTTGGTCACATCATCACGAAAATAATAATCGGTTGTCAGCTGCATATGTAGGCAGTGCAAGGGCATGGGTACTGTCTTTGCAGCATGCTGAACCAGAAATGAGTTCTGTTTCTTCACTGCATCGATATTTAGTTCCGTTGACTGCAACATAACACGCAATTTTCTTGACACCTCTCCCGAGCTGTACAGAACATCTCTAGCCGAAGATAGCACATGCCCCATTGCTTTTGCTCTCTCTAAGGCACTGCAGAAATAAGGGGTCATAAGCAACTTACTCTTTAACACCAAAGTGGCAAAGAGCCAAACTGATTACTAATCTTCAGAAGTGAAATGAAGTACCTAGAATCGAGTTCACTGTCAATAAGTGCATCCCCGATAGCTGTTTGGCTTTCTTTTATGCACTTCATGAGCAAGGCATACATGTCTGGTTCCTTCTGGGAGAGTGCAATAGTGGCATATAGCTTGGCCATTATTATCTGATCTTTGATGAGCCTTAGTGTTGAATCTGTATTAATAAAGCGGAACTCCTGCCTCCATATGTTGTAGCTGCCTCTAACTTTATTATTAAAGTTCATCGAGCTATTTATTGCTGCATTTTGCATCTCAAGTTCAGCCTTCTTATCCATCTGAAGCAGCTCCTGAACCCTCCGCTCCTTTCTTCTGCGTCGAAATACCTGCGGGAGCAATAGCGGCACACCAACACTCAGATAGGCAGGATTAACACATCACATAGTAAGCCAAACAAAAAATCTCAAAACACAAGTAACCATTGCACTGTATTTCATAGTCACTACAACAGAGGGAGGACAGAATCGACCTGTCGCCTTAATTTAATCGGATCGACAATTGTAGTCGCCAGAGTTTCAGCACTTGAAAGATTGGTGGTTTCTGATCCACTGGCGAGTAGATGATCCCTGGCAGCCACTTGCTGGCGCAACAGCAGAAGAAACACCCATTAGAGCTACAAACAAAATAGAACAACCTACCAACTTGTCCCCACAAACAACACAGATAATTTTTTTTTCAGAACATACTGTTCTGGCTACCGGCTGGCTATCTCTGGGCAACCAAGGGTTCTCCCAGATAGAGGACGAACCGAATTCTCTGGCGGTGACTTTGAACAGCTTGATCTGGCCATGCTGGTCGGTGTAAGCAATCGTCTTTTCAGCTTTATCCACATCCTGCTAACCATTCACCGTGCGAACATTAGCGTGGCGAGAGAAGCAACACAGTGCAATCACGTGTCCTGATTCAGATAAATAAAGAGTGACCTGTAACTTGCTGCAGCCAGGGCAGTTCTCGCGAGTCCCGCGGTCGCTGACAGTCCAAAATCACACCGCAACACCAAAGTCAGATCCTTTACCGAATCGCGTAGTAATGAGGAAGGAAGGATGGCGGTGGGTTCTTACGCTCGGTGACCCGAGAAGAGCCACTGCGACACCGCTGATCTGGCGGCGGGCACATGGACCACGACCTGCGGAGGAGGAGCAGCGGGAGCAATGAGAAAAGGAAGGAACCCTGGCTCCGAGGGTTGGAACGCGATGAACCTAACATTTCGCCATTGCAGTGAATAGTGTGTGTGTGTGGGGTGGGGTCGGGGGTGGGGGGGTACAGACCTGGAAGGAGAGGAAGCAGAGGAGGATGAAGAGGAGGGCCAGCAGGCCCGGGCGCCGCCGCAGTGGGAGCGTGGTTCTGGGATACGCTGCCGCGGCCGCCGCCGACGAGGCGGAGGAGGAGGAGGACGCCATGGACGGGGAGTGGAGTGATGGGATGTGGATGTGGATTTTTTTAATTAAAAAAATATTTAGGGAGAGATGGATTTTGGGGGACGAGAGCTGGGTGTAGGTAGCAGGAAGAATAACGAATCTTTTCATTTTCTTTTTTATTTATTTATTTTCTGGCCATAACGGTTAACGGGAATGGAGGGCACGTTTGTCGGGATTACAGTTCCTCTGGCCTATATAAAAATGCCACGTTCATCCGTACTAAGGCTCTATTTGGCAGGACTTTACTTCACTAGTGAAGCCATTTTTTTGGCTTCAGCTTCACGAACAGTTCCACCGGTGAAGCTGAAGCGGTTTTGGTAAACCGTTTGGCAAAATGGCTTCCCTGTGAGAGCATGTTTTTAGGGGCCTGGAAGAGGAGTTAGGAGAAGCCACTTTTTTTTGGCTCCATCCCACCCCAAATCACTGTGAGAGCATGTTTTTAGGGGCTTCACAAGTGAAGCTATTTTACTTTATCCCGTTTGGTAGAAAACGGCTCCTGAAGCCGGTGGAGAAGCCCTGCCAAACGGGACCTAAAAGAGTGATGATGTGCTAAACAAGTGAGCACGGCAATGATTTTGATTTGGACAGAGGATTTCCTTCTTATCTTAGAGGAGTTGGGTGCAAGGAAAGAGAGATGGGGCAATGCCTAGGCGAGGGCGGAATGGTGAGGGTTAGATAAACACGGTGTGATTCGGAATAATAATGGTTGTGTTACATCTACCTTTTAGTTAAGGTAGAAGAGAAAACAAAGTTTAAGTCTCATGTCAGGTCTAGAGTGCTCTATCAAATTATATGCGAAAACCAAAGACCTACGAGAAAAGCAGTGCCTTATTAGGAAGATTAGTGTGCTTGCATTGCATGCCATCTCTAGGAGATGTCATTTTCGATGCGCCAGGCGACTTTAAAAGGGGTAAGAAAGCATTCTAGAATCTTTTCATATGTTCCATAAGGTGTAGATGACGATGTTGTTAAAATCTCACAAAGAACATGGTGTAATGTGTAAAGAGTTGATATCACTAACTCGCCATGGAAACATTGCATGAGCACTGGACAAGGATAGGATGGTGGAAATAGAGAAAGTTTAGTGACATGAAGTGTAGAGAGTGGAGTAAATGGGACTGAGGTTGTGATAGATACAAAACCATATTACTTTGGACTCAAGAGTGTGCTGCTATTCTTTAGTTAGGCCTTGTTCGGTTAATCCTCTATCAAGGGGATTAGAAGGAATTGAAAGGGATTATGACTTGTTAGAGATTTAATCTTCCTTAATTCTCCTTTAATCCCTCTAATTCCTACCAAATCAAACAAACCCTAGCTTGTACTCTTAAATATAAGTATACCTTGAACCTTACAACGTATCTACAACCTAACAATTGCCCATCATAGTTCCTCTAAAAAAGTTTCGTCTGCTTTCCGAGATTATGGGACATATTACAATTAAGTTCAGGAAAATGTTGCACCAAATTACAATTGAGGTTTGTGCATTGGAGCCAGCACTTGGAAGTTTCTAGGTTGCACAAAAATTAGCATAAAACCGTTCTACTTTCTGAACTTACATTCAGAATATAAATTCTAGAGAGAAATAACAATGGCAGAATAGTACGGTGCAGTACTAGTATGCCAAGGATCAAAAGGTGGGTCAATGGTCAAGTCACTCCTGGGACATGCCTACCTCCTTTCCGTAATAATGCTACTTAACGTGGGATCATCATACATAATCCACATGTGTGCTTAGCAGTGCGAAGAGATGGACTTGAAACACACTTCCTTGTGCCGACTGATGACATCTGCAGGTAGGCTTAGTTCCAACCAAGTTACAGAACTTTTTACCATCCAGTGGGAAATGCAGAATTGGAGGCCTAAATCCTAGGGCACCAAATCCTTAAGTGACTCGAAACCATTTATAAATCCCCATTACCACCAAAAGTTATTGCTTGTTAATCTAAAGCGTTTCTGGACAGCCTTTGTTAGTGGTTATCCCACTAGAAACGTCGACAACAAAGGAACGGAGAGTGCCACCACGTTGCTTTTATTTGGACTAGCTAGTATTACATTAGTTTAAGCCAGCTACAGAGGGAGTATGACCAAATCTGTATGGGCAAGCAATGATCAAACATCACTTTCTGTCTCAAGATTTTCAGCAATTATAATAAATATTTTTTCTATATAATAGCAAACGTTGATAAAATCTTTCTTGAATTCTTGTAATGATTAGAGTCTTTGTTTTCTTCATATTCGGCTATAAAAGTTCAGCACTTGCACAGAACCATGACTAACCGAAAAATGGAGTGAATGACCATGACTGGAACTATTGTAAGTGCAATCTGATGCAACTCAACTCAGACAAGACTTCCATGGAAGAATGGTTGAATTTATGCATATGCCAACTACAAAGTCATCCTCGTGTACCGCTAAACGTAACTGTTACATTGATCATCATGATCTGCGTAAACTTTGTCATGACAACAAAAATTGTGGTCTACTACCTTTACAACCTCCGCATCAGAATCGATCAGTTCATCCTAAATATCCTCATGACCATGCCATGCATCTACCTGCCCCTGGAGCTGGAGTTGTTCCTAGCGCTGTCACTCCTAGGGGACTGCACCTGGCCACGACGCGAGGACGAGGAGCTGTTCCTGGGCTCCCTCACCCTACTCTTCACAGACTCGATCTTCTCCAGTGCCTCCACCACTTCCTTCATGGATGGCCTGCACTTTGGGTCACCGTTCAGGCACTTGAGGGTCAGCTGAGCAGCCAGGAGGGCTCCTTTGGGATTGTACTGCCCCTCCAGCCCACTGTCCATCAGCTGGCTAAGCTTCCTCCGGTCAGACAACAATGGCCTTGCCCAGTTTACCAAGTTCACCTTCTCGCTCTGGCGTTTCGGGTCCAACGCCCTCAGGCCAGAGATCATCTCCAGCAGTACAACGCCAAAGCCATACACATCACTCTTCACATACAGGTGGCCTAGTTCATGAAAGATGTGATCACTTATCATTTAGCTCTATGAAAAAATCATATTCCTTATACTGCTTACACAAATTGTCAACCATAAGGGATAAAATGATAGACATGTCGGGGGGAGAAAAACCCTGACACATACCGGTAGAAACATACTCTGGAGCTGCATAGCCATAGGTTCCCATGACTCTTGTTGTCACATGAGACTCCCCACCATCTGGACCATGCTTGGCTAATCCGAAATCTGAGAGCTTCGCATTGAAGTGCTGAACATGATATTGGTGTGTACTGATTATAGTATCCGTCAGGTAACAACAGCTAGTCATTAGTAGCTCTGGAAAGAGTATTTACCGAATCCAGTAAGATGTTGGAAGCCTTGAAGTCCCTGTAGATGATCTGCCTTTCTGATGAATGAAGAAATGCGAGGCCACGAGCTGCACCGATGAGAATCTTCAGCCTGAGGCTCCAAGGCAGCGGCTCGTAAACCGCCCCTCCTGTCAATGGTGAATAATCAGTATTAATATTACGACTAGAAAATAAGATGTTTCACACAAACAAAATACCCTGGATGGCCCAGAAATAGTAACAGGGAAAACAAGTGGAGCCAACTTTTTCATCATGAATTTCCATTTTGACTCGGCAAGGATAATTGAAAGCTGAAGCAACAAGATATCGTACAGGTCTGGGCAATTTAGCTGATGCTGACATGCATCCTCCAAAAATGCTCGTTAGTTGTATGGCACTATGGACTATGGTGCTTCATATATAATATTTTAATGAAAATGATTTGTAGATGCAGATGAAGCACCAACATTTGCAAAGTGCGCTACTGCAGGTGAAGTTGGCATAAAGAGTGTTGACTAATGTGACATAAAGAGATGTTTCTGGATGAAATACTATCATTAGGAAAATAATATCTTCTAAATATACTCACTTCGGAACAGGTGGTTCTCCAAGCTCCCCTTTGACATGAACTCGTACACGAGTAGTAGCTCGTTGTCATCCATGGAATAGCCCAAGAGTTTGACGAGATTGGGATGCGAAATCCTCCCAAGGAAATTGACTTCAGACTGTATTTGGGAACAAGCAAATTAAACCCTTATATGTTGATAAGACTAAAAGTAGGAAAGATAGAATAAAAAAAGCACAAAATAAAAGGTGAGAGTACAGGAGCATGCACTAACTCCCAACAACTAGATCATTCTGATTGTAAATAAAACAGGAAAGAATACTGATAAATAACTAGACTCACATAGGGATTTCTTAGGTTCATCCTACAAAAAGCAGACCAATATATGATTTAACAATCCATAGAGAAAAATCAGTACACAATTGAAACGAGCTAAAAAGGGCAGCAAGCTGCACTATTGTGTAATGTGTAAGCATTCACTGATTCATTTCCCTAGTTCCCTGATAATTAAACCCGGAACCACCTTAGATTGCATCTATTAGATTTTTCTAAAGCTTGCAATTAATAAAGGGTTAAGTCCAATTTACACCCTCCAACTTACAGCAAAGTTCAGATTTCAACCTCGAACTTCAAAACCGGACAACTTTGGCCCTCCAACTCTCGAAAAAGTTCAACTTTCAACCTTCTGGCCGGTTTTGCCGGTGAACAGGGAGCGCCAAAATTTTATATTATTTTTTCGAGCATCTTAACGTTTCAAATGAAAAAACTCAAAACTACAAATTTGTAGATCTCATCGAGGTCTACAATTTACATATAAAAATTATCTTCATCCGACATCGTATTGAAGGGTTTTCTATTTTTTGAAATTTGAGTATCATCACGCGATAAAATATGGTGCTAAAATTTTATATTATTTTTTCGAGCATCTTACTGTCCTCAAATGAAAAAACTCAAAACTACAAAGTTGTAGATCTCATCGAGGTATACAATTTACATATAAAAATTATCTTCATCCGACATCGAATTGAAGGGTTTTCTATTTTTTGAAATTTGAGTCTCATCACGCGACAAAATTATTTCACGCGTGATGAGACTCAAATTTCAAAAAATAGAAAACCCTTCAATACGATGTCGGATGAAGATAATTTTTATATGTAAACTGTAGACCTCGATGAGATCTACAACTTTGTAGTTTTGAGTTTTTTCATTTGAGGACGTTAAGATGCTCGAAAAAATAATATAAAATTTCGGCGCTCCCGAAAATATCAAAAGCTACTGTTCACCCGTTAAAAGTTGAACTTTTTCGAGAGTTGGAGGGCCAAAGTTGTCCGGTTTTGAAGTTCGAGGTTGAAATCCGAACTTTGCTACAAGTTGGAGAGTGTAAATTGGACTTATCCCATTAATAAATAAAGCCTACCCCAATTTACTTGGGACTAAAAGGCTTTGTTGTTTTTGTTGTCGTAGTTGTTGTTGCAATTAATAAATAATAATGTGATGAAAAACTAGCAACTCGGCAGTTTCTGTACCTGCCATTGTTCCATTCCCTGCACGCTCTCAGGATTGAGCTTCTTGACGGCAACCATGATGCCAGTGCTAGCCTTTGACGGGTTGAGGGTCTTCTCATCAACCCATCCCTTGTAAACCTTGCCGAATCCGCCCTCCCCAAGCACAGTCTCAGGCCTGAAGTTCTTGGTGGCGCTCTTGAGTTCGGCAAATGTGTATATCTTGAGGCTTGGAGACTCAAGAATCTGGCCCTCTGGGTAATCGCCGTCGACGCTGACACCACTAACTGTGGACGGCATGAAGGTGCTGGTACTGCTAAGCGTTGACAGCTTCCCGGTGGTGGCAGAGCTACTAGTCCTCCTCGATGTAGACATTCCTGAACGTGAGGTAGGAAAAAATGTGAGGTCTTGAGTTAGTTGGATAGGAAGTGAGAAGTTTCAAATGCATAATAATCTACCATGGCATTAGAATTTATATAACAGAGGCTAATTTTGCTCTCCGAGATAGATATACAAGATTGGGAAACAAATTTTGCCATTTGGATAGCAAAAGAAAATGATACTCTCCAAGTTTGTAATTACATATAGAGATATATAAGGTGCAAGTACAGAGGCTAGAGGCCAAGGGTTGACGGACCGAGATAAATTTTCTTATACGGTAAAAAAAAAAGAACGAGAGATGGTCCGTTTTTTATTCTACAGACAAGTCTCAATTACCAGAGAACAACAAAATAACAAATTAAATAAATATAGTTGCAGAGAGCTTGAAGTTGTCCCAAACATGAGGACTTGGTGAGCACGTGCGCCTTACGTTCAAAAGCATGTGATTCTTGGAAAGTAGGTTTGTTAATGATGTAACAGAAATTTGTAAAACAACACCAAGAAGAACAAGACGACGTGGTGGTATGAGTCCAATATATGTGCGGGTAAAGAGAACAACTGCACGCCATATGCCATCAGATAAACAAAGGCATGTTCCGAGGATGGGCTGCGTTGCGTGACGGAGGAAAAAAAACAGAGGATTTCAAGCAACAACCCGAACAGAACCACCGGTTGCATTACAAGGCGGTGCCGGTTGCATGCCAAAGATTGAAGCTTTAGGAGAGAAGAGAGGAGGAAATGCTGGCGGGGGTTACCGTACCAGGAGTAGCGGCCGGCGACGGCGACGGCGACGCCCTGTTGCCGCGCTGGACAAAGGCATCGATGGCGCTGGTGCAGTTCCCCATGACAGGCGGCCGGCGCGCGGGAGCAGGCGACAGCGGTTGGAGAAGAGAAGAGAAAGGCCTGGGGTGAGGAGGCTCTAGCGGTTGCTGGAGGGAGAGGGAGATTCGATTTGCAACCGCAACCGCGACTGCAACTGCACTGGAGTAGAGCCACGGGAAGGAAGGGAAGAGGAAGGGGAGGGAGGAACCAACTGCGAGTCTGCGACGCAGGGGAGGAGGAGGAGGATGGAGGCGACCGCCGACTTGCGCTACTCGCTATATTGTCCTCTGGCGCGATGCAAGCCACTCCGCCTTTTCGTTTTTTTGTTCTTGCTCGTGTCTCGTCTCGTCTCACTCAGACTCAAGTCTATCATGGCGGGCGGACGAAGAAGAAAAAAGAAAAAGGAAACAAGAGAAAGTCCTTTCTTTTCTCTTCTTCTGCCGAACAAAAGACAAATGAAAGCGCGCATGCACACAGCACACCTTAAAAGTTAAAAGTTAGGCCTTCTTGAGTTTTTTACTCTAAAATTTACTTCATATCCCATCGAATATTTGACACATATATAAAGTAATAAATATAGACTAAAAAATTAATTGCACAGTTTACGACTAATTTGCGAGACAAATCTCTTTAAGCCTAATTAGTCCATGATTTGACAATGTGGTGTTACATTAACACATGTGTTAATAACAGATTAATTAGGCTTAATAAATTCGTCTCGCGGATTAGTGACGGATTCTGTAATTTATTTTTTTATTAGTATCAAAACACCCCATGCAACATCTTCATATGACACCTGATGTGACACCCCAAAATTTTACACTCTTAATTTAAACTAGGCCTTAGTTAAATAACTATTTGACAAGTGAGTTCACGGTCTAGTTGCCGTAGGGATATTCACCCAATCAGCTCCAATCCACTCTTGCCCCTTGGATCGCGATTTAGACCAAAGCTGATTTTCTCCCATAACTAACTTTACAAAAAAATATTCTCGCAACAAAAAAAACTTCTAAAAAATTTAGTCTAGATAAAAAAACTTCTTGTTTGTAATGACGACTCTAGAGAGAAGAATTCAGAGGATGAGATCCGGCAGTGGGTGCAGGGGTTCCCTCTGCGACCTCAACCGCAGAGGGAGTAGGCAGAGGGAGTAGAGGCAGCGCAACGAAGGGTGAACGACGGAGGGGCACGAGCGCAAGAGAATTGGGATTTTTCCTACTGGGGTCTGGGAAGGACTTCTGCATCTATATTGAAAAAGGCATGGGGAGAAGAATCGTGGATGGATAAAGCGGCCTCAAAAGTGTGTCGTTTGGAGGGGTTGGTGCACTTTATTTCACTGTAAGCTAGTGAAAAGCGGCTCCAAATAGGGTCTAGGTATGCTTTGCTCCGCACCCAAATGTTTTGTAACACTTCCAACTTGTTCCACCATCAGCTTTAGCTCATGCTCGATGACGGTGCGGGAGGCCAAAACGACATAAGAAGAGGGGGCTAGCAGGAGGCGGCTACCGCGGCAGAGGAACACGATGGGGGTGAGCTAGGCCACCTCCATGGAGGAAGACAAGGAGGGAGAGCGGTGAAACATCGGCGCAACTCAGGAGCCCTCCTCACTAGAGTAGAGGAAGACGAGGGCACATGGAGTCCACCGCCACCGAATCCACATAGAGAAGGTTGGTAAGAGGGACAGGGAAGGGCGGGGAAGACCAAATCAATGGGGGAGAAGGGTGGCAAGGGAGGTGAGGGAGGCTGAGTCATCAGAGGAGAAGGAGGGTAGGGTGGCAAAGAAGAAGGATGATGGGAGCAGGATTGGAGCATGGGGAGCAGGGTTTTTTCGTTCCCACCCATAGCGCAAAATGGGCGAAGCAGCCGGGAGTAGTAGCATTTTGCAACACTCTGCCCAAATCTTTATAGTGGAGTGGAATGAAGCATAACCCTGCCAATCTAGGCATAGTCGTATTTCCTTTTGCACAGTCATTGAACCAAAGGTGGGTTTCCCAACAACCTCTACAAACGCCTCCTCTAACCTACTCCACACCGGTGAAGCTAAGGCTAGGCCAACCTCAGCCTTGGCACCCTCTTGCCACAACCTAAGTAGTAGTTATAGACTAATAATCAATGTACAATTGGTATTTTTTTCAATCTCATACTAATTTGTACTCGCTATATAACCTATACAATATACTAAATGGTAAATATTTGTACTTAATACAGTCTTTCTGTTATTTAATATTAGGTATTTATGTTGTCAGTGACTAATTGCTCTAGCAATTGTGTGCACATTAATCTCTATAATGTAAATTGTCCCCTCTTAAAAGTTCATCCTAGCTCCGCCACTGTCCCATCATCGTAGCCTACAACTATCACACATAACTCAGCCTTATTTGCAAGTCCTGCACCACCTGGCAGTAGCCATCTACCTAGTAGTCATGGAGCCCACGACTATAGCTTTAAAAATAGCTAGCCATATCGAATGATGCCAAAGAAAAGCGAAGCTAAACTCGTTGTTGGTTCGAGGACCGCTGTTGACGGTAGTTAACAACCATTATAAAAAGTCAATATAACATGTATAAGGGCATAAATATAATTACCAATAAAGATTTATGGGTTTAAACTAACAAATTCCACGAGTTTTTGTGAATATGTATTTTCGGCAGGGTTTATCTAGAAAACCGTCAAGGTGGACCTACATGTCAGATTTAAATGCGCTTATCCGTAGCGAAATGGACACCAGAAGACTCGGGAGGACTCCACACCGAAGCGGAGAGCGAGACGCCGCCAGGTCAACCTCTCGTTATTATGTCGGTTCTCCACCACCTCCTAGGTTGCATCTACGCCGTCCTTTAAGTCGGTTTGATCTAAGAGCTTACGTTGGACACTCCGGCCTATATATATCAGCCGCCGCCCCCCTGAAAAGGTAGATAAGTTATTTGAGAAGACAAAAACCCTAATCATCCTCAGAGCTCCACCATATTCTAGGGCATAGCTAGTTAGGCTAGGTCTAGAGGGAGGCAAGCAGGCTTCGCTTGGACTCCCGATCTTATCAAAAGCGTGGTTTGGTATAATCTTTGTACCCCTCTCTTGTTTGTATCTCCATTACTTTTATATGCTAGTTACAATTGTTATGACAATATCAGTATTCATCTTATTCATGTTCTTTATTATAATGTTCATGGTCTACTTTGATTATATGATTAGTATAGTTGGATTATCATTATGTTGATGCATAAGTTCGTACAACGCTCACTCTAAGGATCCATGGGTGGGTGGTCGACATTGTGTAAGCGTGGTGCTTACACGTTGTTTACCTGCGGATACACCCTATATTCTGGGTCATGTGGTAAATCGTGGATGTGACACTCCCGTTGAGTCCTTTGTAGTCCACTCCTCGAATATAGGCGCACGTAGGGTTCGGTTACGAAGGAAGAGCAAGTTCTGTTCTTAATCTTCCTTAGTAATATCCCTTATGTGTAGATATGACGATGATCTTAGCAATGATTACTAGGTATAATTGCACTAATCAATGCATGCTTTGACTTGTAATTAAGAATGACTTAAGAATTATTTCTCTAATATTCTACCTGACCATGCTAATGCCATAGAAAGGAGTACTCTGAGTGATTTATCATTATCATTAATCAATACTCATCATATATATATATATATATATATATATATATATATATATATATATATATACTGTTATGAGTAGAATATTGGTTATGGTTTACTTCTCCTTCAATAGTATAAGTTATCAATATATGTCCATGCTAGACATTTCCTGTGATAAAAATATAAATAACAATACCTAGAATACTCTTGGGTAAAATGCTACAATGGTATATTATCTATGCACTTGCAGATCCTTTTTCATTTATATATTTATTTATTCTTCCTAGTCACATAATTAATAAAGAATTGCTTAGTATTATTCTAGTAATAATGCTATGTAATACTAACAAGTATCTCTAATATCATCACTAGGGATGACAACCTAGTAAAATTAGAAGATATATGTTTATAATAGGTGGCTATTTAAAAACAAGTAACACGTTAATAAATACTAACAAGCATTTCTGGCGTTGTTGCTAGGGACTAGATTTAAAACTCTGTTCTTAGTAGCAACGCTAAGAAATGTCAACAACCACGAAAAACATGGTTTCCATGAGTGCTACACCCAAATATGGATATCAATTTATGGAGATGCATGGTTAAGACACTTGCCTATGAAAATTGTTTTTAAAGTACACTACCCCTTTCACAGTCCCCAATCCGTGCACCTCCACCTCATTGGCTCACCTACTCTGGTAGAATCCACACGTCCCTTTCAACAATCATGCCAAAATTTGGCACTGTCTTTAGGTCCTATGATGGTAACCCTACAACAACCAAATGCCTAACAGTGCAAGCCACCGTCTCATATCCATTGTTGCTCAAATGGGCCTGACTTGCAAAAATAAAAGTTTCTATAGACAATCGTTTATGTGATCCACATCTAGAAATAGACCAGTTTGTTGGCCCAATTAGATCTCAGATTTAGATCTGGAAACTACCAGAGGGTAGCTTGGCCGCTTGGATTGAAAGGAAATGCAATGGCTTCGTTTTTAAATTGATAATGCCATTTCTAAAAAAACAATGACAATGCCCCTGCTTTATAGGCAGAGGGCCTCTCTACCTGCTCCAGCATATTCTAACCACTAAAGTAGATGTTGAGCATATTCCTAAAACAAGGCTTGGAAGCTAAGGAAAGTAAAGTGCAGAAAAGTAAGATACAAGTGCTTTAGCACTAGGCTTATCTTTCAATTCTCCCTCTAAGCCTTGTGCCGAGCACTGGAGGTGATCTACTGTAGCCCAATCCTCTTCCTCATCTCCTGGAACTTGGACTTCCCCAGCGACTTGGTGAGAATATCAGGAAGCTGATCAGTAGTGGCAATGTGGTTGGCCTAGATACTCCCATCCTCCAAGCAATCCCTGATGAAGTGATACTTAATACGGATGTACTTGCTTCTTTCATAGAAGATAGGGTTCTTGG